CCCTCTTCTTCCATGCAGCCGAAAGGAACCTCACGGCAGGAGACAACAACTCAACCCCCGCCTTCTGGCTCTTCCACAACGAAACCGGAGGTGAGCTCTGCCCGAGGCACCACCATTTCTACGCCAACTTTTTCCCCTTCCACTGACCACTCTTCCATTGCCCTTACCGAGGAAACCACCGTCTCCTTACGGTCTGCCACTCCTCCAGCCAGGGTCGAATCAACAGCAGCTGAGGGGACCAGCCCTTCCCTCTCTTCGGCAACATCTCCTACGGCTGCTCAGCTGAGAACCTCGACTATTAAGGTGACCGGATCCACCCCGATGAGGCCGCATTCCACTGTGGAGACTGGCTTCACGTCTCTTGAAAATCAAACAGCGCCAACCTTCAGCAAGGTTTCTCCCACGAAGGCTGAGCTGACCTCAGCAGAAATGACCAAAACAGCTTCACCAGCATCCGAGTCTCCCCTGGCCACGTCTCTTTCCATGCAGACTGTATCCTCTCCAGCTCGGACCTCGCCGCCATCGTCTCCCTCGGAGACCAGCATTGCATCCCACGGCACGAGTTCTATTCATGCAGAGTCCACCCCAACTGAAGGAAGAACCACCTCTTCGCTCCATTCGGCACACTCAAGCACTGCAGTCCCAGAAACCATGTCCTCCGCAAAGTCGGTAGCCTCTATTGTTACCACGACCGCTGCTGTTGGCATGACTGAGCTAACCTCCGCCCAGGAACAAACCAGTCCCTCCATCGCCCCCTCTTCTTCCATGCAGCCGAAAGGAACCTCACGGCAGGAGACAACAACTCAACCCCCGCCTTCTGGCTCTTCCACAACGAAACCGGAGGTGAGCTCTGCCCGAGGCACCACCGTTTCTACGCCAACTTTTTCCCCTTCTACTGACCACTCTTCCATTGCCCTTACCGAGGAAACCACCGTCTCCTTACGGTCTGCCAGTCCTCCAGCCAGGGTCGAATCAACAGCTGCTGAGGGGACCAGCCCTTCCCTCTCTTCGGCAACATCTCCTACGGCTGCTCAGCTGAGAACCTCGACTATTGAGGTGACCGGATCCACCCCGATGAGGCCGCATTCCACTGTGGAGACTGGCTTCACGTCTCTTGAAAATCAAACCACGCCAACCTTCAGCAAGGTTTCTCCCACGAAGGCTGAGCTGACCTCAGCAG